AGTTTTCCTTTTTCCTTTCATCTTCCCCCCTTGTTTTCCCCCCCCGGGGGGGTTTCAAAAAAAAAAAAAAAAAAAAAAACACAAGAAGACAAAACGCCACCGTCCAACTACCATTGCGTCGTCGTTCTTTGGCACTGTCAGAGACGGAGAGACTCAGAGCATCCAAAGCTCCCAAGGGCCAAGCCCAATCACTCACCGCCACTTCCCCACCTCCGATAAATATATATATATTGTTTTAATGCTTGGATGGGCTTAAAAAAAATTATTTTTACTTATTAAGTCTAAAATACGTTTTTGAATATGTTTAGATAGATAATTTTAAAGTGATTTTAATTTTTTTTAAGTATTTTTAGAACAAGTCATTTTTTTGATGTTAATGAAAAAAGTGTTTATAAAAAGATTTTTTATTTATATTTTTAACTTTTTATTTGTGAATAATAAATTAAATATGTCGTATATATTCTTTTATTACGTTACTTTTTATAATAATAAGTGATTTTGACTTTTTTGTTATCTAAACATTATCAAAAGTTCTTCTTAGATTAAAAAAAAAATTTCAAGCATTATCTAAACACTAATTAAAAGCCCCAACTTATACTTATATTCTTATACTATTTATAAAAAATAAAAAAAACACAAATTATCTTAAACGGGCATTGAATATGACAAATTATATGTTTTCCTCCAAATTACAGGCCGTCACAAAATGCCACATGAACTTTAGTTTTAGATTTTCTTCCCCTTAAGCTTTAGCAACTCTTGCAAAATTTTCCCTATTGTTAAATTTTTAATTTTGTTATTGCATTGGCCGCCATTGATGAACTAAAATCCTTAGGTCAAGTAAATTAAAAGAGAATTGATGTAGTAAAAAAAGAACTAAGTTCATTTGGTCATGTAAATTAAAAGAGAATTGGTATAGTAAAAAAAAAAGAAAAAAAAGACAACTCCTACTGCGTAATTGTATTTTTTTATGACTAAATAAGGAAGATCTAATAGTATAATTGTGTATTAAAAATAGTTGAACGACACTCATTATTTTTGTGATAAGTGTTATTTCTATTACAAATCTTAATATAAGGAGTTTTTTGTTAGTTTTTGCATTTAACGCGACATTTTTCGCTAAAAATTTGTTGAGGGGGAAATTGCAAGAATTGTTGAAGTTCAGGAAGAAAAAAAAACTAAAATTATCGTTCAGGACATTTTGTAACAAGGCCCGTAGTTTGAGAGAAAAACATGTAATTTGTCCTTCTAAATATTCAATTGAACAAGGTATTAAATTTTTTTTTAAGAAAAAACGAATAGTTATGTGGCAGGAATACGGAAAAATACCTACTAGAACATAATTTTTAAGAACAATGATATCAGCGGCTCCTTTAATTTTTTTGGCCCTAAAAACTTTTTCTTTCATTTTCACCACCTACAATTTTATAATTATAGTTTTTTGCTTATGTTTTAAAATAATTTTTGTTATCTTCGAAAATCTAATTTAATCCATACCCATTTTAATAGTTCTTTTTAAAATTTCAGGCTATATCTTAAATTTTTTAACTCTAAGTATACTAATAATTCAATGTTGAAATCCTTATAAAGGAAAAAATTCACTACTCTATAAATTCATAATTTTGTAGACTTCAAATTTTAGAAAGTGAATTGAACTTGATTACAGATTAAATAAACAGGAGATAAAAATAGAG